GAATTCCTCAGCCAGCAAAGCTGGCTGAGGAATTCTGGGAGTTGAAGTCCACAAGTCTTAAAGTTGCCAAAGTTGGACACCCCTGTTCTAGAGTCTCAACATCTTTTTTATAACGTGGTGACCAAACTGATAGAACATATAGAATGGGATCGAATCCTATAACTGTGGGATATAGGATATATTCTATGGGATGTAAGATTCTGTAAAAGATAGGATTAAGTAATGGAATTAATTCACTTGATCTCAACATATACTATAGATTTTGGAGAAGCCATGCAGGCTGACCAGAACGCTGAAAAAGCGACTACTGTTGGGAGTTATACTGCTCCACAAAATTTGTTGCTATCTTCCATTTGTACAAGTATGGATACTAGCACTGTATATAATGCATTTAAAAAAGGTCCTTCGCAATATGTTAGTATAACCGAATGCTTCTCCTTAAATCATTACAGCAGATGCATAGCTGCCTGAAAGCCATCACTCTGCTAAACAAATAATTCCCTCAACACTGTTCAACTATTACAAAGTCTGCACTACTATTACTGCCAATCTTCTCATCATTCTTTGTCACCCATCCCCTCCCACTTGTGACTGTATGGCTGTAACTTTGTTGCTTGTATCCTTACGATTTATATTTGCTGTTTCCTAGTATGATTTGACTTCTTATTGTACCCTATGATCATTAAGTGCTGTTTATTGTACACTATCATTAAGTGTTGTACCTTATGATTCTTGACTCTTGATGAATGTATCTTTTGTTTTATGTACACTGAGAGTATTTATGTACACTGAGAGTATCAAGACAAATTCCTTGTGTGTCCAATCACACTTGGTCAATAAAGAATTATATTCTATTCTGTGGGTATGCATAGTGATACCTCCACTTGGAACACCAGCAGGATGAAGGATGCACATACACACACACACACACACACAGAGAGACAGATGCATTCCAATTAATGCAACTGTCAGTACTTTGTAGAAAGTGGGCTCCATGCGCTAGAAATCTTTGTAAAGCATCTCTCTCAATTGCGTTGCGCAGCCCTCATAATTTCTTCGCTGTAAAGGTGAAATATAGCCAAGAAAATAGAAGAATTCATGATTTTTGTCACAACGAAGCTGTATTACCCTACGTACCATCCTTCAATCCGCTGAGTTGATTGACTCGATATGAAGGACTCCAAATGAATTCTTATTATGTTAAAATGATGCTTTGAGGTAAGGGTCATAAGAATTATGTTTGCTATTCAGAGGCTATTTTGGACTCCAGAACATAAATCCTGCTGCTGCTGAAGACTCTGCATACACAATAACTTCACTCCAAGTTCATCTAAATTGTTTTTGCCTATTGATCACTAGGAGAAACTAATGTACTAGGGACATCTTGTGGTGGAGAGAATTAACTTTTCCTCTTCAAATACAAACCAATTACTCATTTTCTGATGTCATTCTAAGACACTTTCTCTTCTAAGCTCTTTTCTGGCTCCTGAGAAATGTGGGCACTTCATAAACATAGATTAATGTTTGTTTGGTATTGTACCGGTTGGCCCGGTTCAGCTGAACCTGTAGCTCTGAGGATCATCTGTGAGCAAACTGGTTTGCTCCAGCGATCAGCTGCAGGGCCCTCCCACCTGCCCTGGCTCTATACTGACCTTTATTTCCTGATTTTGAAGCTCAGCTGTTTCATGCGGCACAGCCGATTGCCGCACATCAGCTGTTAAACACACAGGGAGAGTGCAGATTTGCAGGAGAAGGTCAGTAGAAAACCTTCTTCATGCGTGCAAAGCGCCCATGCGCACGCAAAGCGTGCCCACCAAGCCACGCCCACTGAACCGGTGGTAAAGCAATTTGAATCCCACCATTGGGTATTGTTATTTATTCAGATTTGTGATAACTCACCCAACCACCGTGGACTCTGGCAGTGCAAATGCTGTGTTCTGATTCTGTCTGATAATCAGTTACAAACATCTGGGCTGAATCTCAGAAAGCATCTGCTTCCCCACTACTCTTTTGGGATGAAGGAGGCAGGTTCTAGAGGACACAACAGTTCTCCAAGGGGACAACTTGCTTTGAAGCAGCCAAATAGTTCAGGCTGACTATGTAGTTGCCTCTTATCTCCTTTCCTTTGTGATTTTAGGGAATTGCTCCACTCTGCATTGGATCTGCCATTCTTAATTAATTTGGTATTCCTTAAACGGTCTCAGGTTGCTCATTCAAAGGGATGAAACCCTGAGTAAGCTGAGACTGCAAATTCCTTCATTTGAATTCAGTACAAGGGGTGGGGGGAAGCAGCCAATGAGAGGCCCCGTTTCAAGGCATGTGCCATGATTTGTGAGGCTCAGTGCCCAGGCTAATCCTGCTGCCTGCTGCATTTGCGGAAGATGAATGCGACTGTTATAGGAGGAAACCAAGGATAGGAATGAATTAGCCCAGGGGTGCCAAACTCGATTTCATTGAGGGCTGTATCAGGGTTGTGTTTGACCTTGAGGGGTGGGTGGGCATGGCCAGCTTTACGTCATTCGTGTTGGGGGCGTCTGTGGTGGCCCAAGTGCTCTGCCAGTGAAAACGGGTTCCAGAGCTTCATTTCCAACTGCGATGGCTTCCTGCCACCCTCTGCCAGTGAAAACAAAGCTCATGCAGCCCCACTCCCGAGCTCCATTTTCATTGGTAGAGGCAGCAGGAGGCTGTCGCAGCTGTAAATGGAGCCTGGGAGGGCCACATGCGACCCTCCCAAGCTCCGTTTTTGCTGGCAAAGGCACCGCGGGCCGGTCCTTTGCTCTTTCTAGGGCCACCCTACGGGCCAGATCTAAGGACCCCACAGGCCAAATCTGGCCCCCAGGCCTTGAGTTTGACACCCCTGGATTAGCCCCTTTGCCTTTCTTAAAATAATTAAAAAAACATATAGGATACAATATTTAAATTAGGATAGATAACTCAGTGCATACCAACTGCTTTGGATTTCAACTCCTTTCAGCCTCAGCCAGTATAAATAGCAGCAAGAGATTATGGCCGTTGTAGTCAGTGGTGGGATTCAAATTTTTTTACTACTGGTTCTGTGGGTGTGGCTTGGTGGGCGTGGCAAAGAAGTATGTTTACAGAGTATAGAATAACAGGGTTGGAAGGGACCTTGGATCTTTCCTAATCTAATGCCCAGTTTAAGCAGGAGAACCTATGCCATTCTGGGCAAATGACTGCCCAATCTTTTCTTAAAACTCTCCAGTGATGATAGAATAGAATAGAATAGAACAGAATAGAATAGAATAGAATAGAATAGAATGGAATGGAATGGAATGGAATGGAATGGAATGGAATGGAATGGAATGGAAAGGAATGGAGCGGAGCGGAGCAGAACGGAACGGAACGGAACGGAACGGAATAGAATAGAACAGGACAGAGTTGGAAGGGACCTTGGAGGTCTTCTAGTCCAACCCCCTGCTTAGGCAGGAAACCCTGCACCACTTCAGACAAATGGTTCTCCAATCTCTTCTTAAAAACTTCCAGTGTTGGAGCATTCACAACTTCTGGAGGCAAGTTATTCCACTGATTAATTGTTCTCACTGTCAGGAAAGCACCATTACTGTGTTTCGTGCTGATTTCATATGTTTTTTGCACTGATTTTATTCTTCCAAAATACATCGATATTCTCAAAGTGAAAAATCATCTCCACTTAAATCAGTGGAACGACCTGCCTCCAGACATTGTGAATGCTCCAACCTGGAGGTTTTCAAGAAGAGATTGGACAACCATTTGTCTGAAATGGTGTAGAGTTTCTTGACTGAGCAGGGGGTTGGACTAGAAGACCTCAAAGGTCCTTTCCAACTCTGTTATTCTGTTATAGTTGTGAAAAATGTGAACATTTGCCTAGCCACATTTTTATCATCCTTTCCTCAGTGGCTTTAGCCCCATATTTTAAAGAAATGAAATAGTGTCCAAGATGGGTAAACAGGATTGTGCTGTATATGGGAAGATTTTTTTTTAAAAGTTCTCTTACTCCATCCATGAGCCAGTGAAAATCCATCAGAAGTGGCCAGCAACAAGATAAATTTGCACCAGCCCCGCCTACCATGTTTTCCCCCAAATAAGACCCTGCCTTATATATATTTTTGTCACCAAAAAAGGAACCAGGTCTTATTTTCAGGGGATGTCCTCCACTGACTACTTGCGTGTGTTGCCCCTGGCCTCCTTTTCACTGTCAGAGGCCTTCAGGAGCTTCTTCTGTGACTGGCAAGGCTTCCCTGAAGGCCTTTGCAGAGGATAACAGAGCTCCAGCTGCAGAACAAAAGGACTGGCAAGGCAGGTATCGGGGTGTGTGAGGCCTGGTTACAACTGTCCAAAGGTAAGTAGTAGGGCAGTTCCATCTCCCATCCCCACCCTAGCTTAATTTTTACCCATCCACTCTGCAGTTGGCATGATCTTAATTAAGGCTTATTTTGGGGGGTTAGGGCTTATATTGGGCACGTGTGTAAAAATCCAGCTAGGACTTACTTTCAGGATAGGTTGTGTTTTTGGAGAAACAGGATATCATGTGGCTCTTAAAGAGTAAGAGTATTAATTATGAATAATGTTATACCAAGTTCAACAGAAAAATAGTTAGGCCTGGAGTTGAAGCAAGGCCCACTCCCCCTTTAATAAAAACACAAACACATAAGCAATAAATCATTGGAAGAAACATGGATTTTATAAATGGGCTGGAACGCTCCCTAAACCTTATGCAAGTGGAATTCTGTGCTCCTGTTAAAAAAGTTTCCATCACAGTATTCTGTCCTTCCTGTTCCACTCCTAGACGGAGCCGTAGGAGAACATCGTGGTTTAAATTGCCTCCTCTAAATACGCTGCTAAACAGAAGCAGCAGCATTGCCTTGCACCCCAATGTTTGGGGGAGAACTCTCTTTCTCTAGCAGCCTTCCCAGGTTCTTTCAAAGAGAGGGAAACGAGGTGGCTGGTTTCTCTCTTCTTGGTCACGGGCCAAGATTGTCCAACACAGGTTGAGGATTCTACTCCTAACAGTGAGAATCTAATTCTGTCATAGGGAAGAGGTGATGGCCTGGACACATTCTTTGAGGCAAGTCTTCATCTGGACAGGCAAGCTGGTGGAACCTCTGGAAAAAGAAAGAGAGAGAGAGAGAGACACCATATGCATGGAAATTAGAGGTGGTATTCAGCAAGTTTTGACCATTTTAGAGAACTGGTAGCGGAAATTTTGAGGAGTTAAGAGAACTGGCAAATACCACCTTTGACTGGCCCCGCCCCCATCTATTCTCCGCCTCCCGAGTCCCAGCTGATGGTCTGGGTCTTCTTTTATTGCCCTGCACAGGAGAACGGAGCTGGAAAGCAGGTTAGTGGGGTGGGGAGGGAATGGGAATTTTGCAGTATCCTTTCCCTGCCGCGCCCACCAAGCCACGCTCACAGAACCGGTAGTAAAAAAAATTGAACCCCACCACTGAAATTGGAAAAGTCTATGGAGATTCTGGTGAGATTATATAAAATGGTACATGGAAAATATTGCTGTTTGCCAGAAAAGTTGTGGTTGGAGAATCTAACTACAGGCAGTCCTCAACTTTGGGCTAAAATTTCTGTTGCTAAGCGAGGCTGTTGCTAAGCGAGTTGTGCCTCATTTTATGGGCTTTTGGCCACACTTGTTAAATGAATCGTGTGGTCTTTAAGTGAATCTGGTTTCCCCCACAAACTTGGTTGTAGTTTCTGTCCTTTTGCGAATGTGTGCCTTGTGCAAAAATTAACAATTGGATATATATTTGATTCATTTCTATCATGTCTCCTCTCCGAAAGCACAGAAATGGATTTAAGACAACCAACCTACAGTTAATTCTCGACTTAGAACCATTCATTTAGCAACTGTTTGAAGTTACAGTGGTACTGAAGAAAGGGACTTACAAGTAGTGCTTGTACTTCCAAACCATTGCAGCATCTTCGCAGCCGTGCGATCAAAATTCAGGTGCTTGGCAAGAAGCAGCCTGCATTCACAATGGTTTCAGAGCCGTGGTGGCACAGTGGTTAGAGTGCAATACTGCAGACTACTTCTGCTGACTGTTGACTGACTGCAATTTGGCAGTTCAAATCCCACCAGGCTCAAGGTTGACTCAGCCTTCCATCCTTCCAAGGTGGGTAAAATGAGGACCCAACTTGTTGGGGGCAATAGGCTGACTCTGTAAACCGCTTAGAGAGGCCTGTAAAAGCACTGTGAAGTGGTATATAAGTCTAAGTGCTACTGCTATTCAGTGTCCCGGGGTCATTCAATTGCCATTTACAAACTTCCTAGCTGATTTCTGGCAAGCAAAACCTGAATTTGCTTGGCAACCTCATGATTCACTGCAGTAATTCGCTGAACCATTATGGCCAAACAAGGTCATTAAATTGGACCTTGCTTAGCAACAGAAATTCTCGTCCCAATTGTGGTTGTAAGTTGAGGACTAAGGGTTTTGAACATGAAAAGCAGCCCATGGTCTAGCGTCATTCCCTGGATCATTAAAGTGAGCTGAATTCATACCAAACACTGGAGTCCACAAGTTGCTCTTTCAGTTAATCATTTCCAGAAGGAACCCTACTCTGAAACAATGGAACCAATATATCACTTGGTATTCATTTTGCACCCGAATAAATACAGCTATAGCATTTTTGGGTCACTATTTTGGGACAATTTAATCTTGAATAAGATTGCTGAACTTTGTTCTCTGAAATGCAGCATTGTTTGTTTGTTTGTTTTTTAAAAAAACAACTCTCCTGCGTACATGTTGCATATATTTCTTTTACAGTAATTCTGAACTGGATACTCCTTCTAATCAAAAGAAACTAGTTGCAAATGTCACAGAGGAAATAAGATATTTGACTGAAAGTCAATAAGCATAGGAGGGGGAAAGAAATGATGGGATACTGCTAAGCTAAGTGCTCAGTTGTGACATTGCTGAAGTATTATACAGCTAATAACAAACACCCAGAAAGGCAATTTAGATTGTGCAGCCCTCAAGCCAACTCAAATCCAATAAAGTCACCGGTTCTTGCCAGTAACAGATAGATTCCTAGTAAATTAATGCAGGGACCTCATTCGTTATTTTGGAACACAGCAATGTTACCTCTGAAGACCAAAGTAGACTTCCTGGCTCAGCCACTTTGCATCACAGTCACCATCCAAAAAATGCCAATCTTACCTCTTTCAGGGATCCTTTAATGGTGGAGAGTTTGTAGACAATCCAGAGGGGGATGCAGATCATTGAAGAGAGGGCAAGCAGCCAGCCGACGGTGTCTCCCCACCACGGGTACACATATTTCTTGTTGTATGTCAGTGGGGTGTATTTAATCAAGGAAAAGAGAAAGGTTGCCTGGAAAAATTGAGCGAAGGAGGAAGCATTAGAATCAGATGCACCAATCTTCAATAAACTACTTTGGGCCGGGAACATAATCCCTGATTTCAACCTGGTGAATAATCAATCTGGTGAATACAGATAGTCCTTGACTTACAGCCATAACTGGAAGCAGACTTTCTGTTGCTGAGCAAGGTGGTTATTGAGTTGCACCCAATTTTGTGACCCCTTTTTTCCCCACCATTGTTAAGTGAATTATTGCAATTGTTAAGTGAATTGGGTGGCTGTTAAGATGTTGGACAACCATTTAACAAATAACAGATAATCAGAGTTGGAAGGGACCTTGTAGGTCATCTAGTGACTAGTCCAACCCCCTGCCCAAGCAGGAGACCCTACACCATTTCTGACAGATGGGAGTCCAATCTCTTCTTGAAGGTCTCAAGTGATGAAGCTCCCACAACTTCTGAAGGCAACTTCTGTTCCATTGGTTGATTGTTCTCACTGTCAAAAAGTTTCTCCTTTTTTCCAGGTTGAATCTCTCCTTGTTCAGTTTCCATCCATTATTCCTTGTCTGGCCTTTGGGTGCTTTAGAAAATAGCTTGACCGCCTCCTCTCTGTGGCAGCTCCTCAAATATTGGAACTGTGATGACCTGGGGCATGGCACAAAGTCAACACAGTCAAATAAGCAAGAAGAGTCCCTTTATTGTCTCCAACTTTGCCCCCAGTGTCCAGGTTACCTTCGGCTGGAGAAAAACTCTCCCAGGAACAGCCTTTAACTGGAGAAAATTCAGTCCAAAACAAGGTATATACAAACTGTAACTAAAAATCCAAACAAACCAAGCTGAAATAATTAAGTTGACAGGGCAGAAGAAGGAATTTCAGACTTCAGAACGGCAAAACTCACACAGTTGGGAAGACGCCAGGAACACAGATAAGCCTTGACAACAACTCACAATTTGTTTTCAACAATTTGCTGTGCACAACCTTCCTTTTTAAACACTGTGTTCCCAGCTGCAGCTAATGAAGGGAATCAGGGCCCATTCCTCCCCTATAAGCCGTGCAACTCATGTTGCTCCCTTCTCTGTTCCTCCCTGTGTGCCCTAGGATGAAGAGGGGGTGGGCCTGGGTCTTCCTCTGAATTCCCTCTCCCTTGCTCTACCTCTTCCCTGCTCTGCCCAGTTGGACTTTGCTCTTCCCCAGTTTCTTCCACACCCAACGGAGCCACACTCCCACTCCCTGTCAGTTGTTCGGCCTCCCCCTCTGAATCAGATTCCAACAGGGGCATGACAGGAACACTGCTATCATGTCTCCCCTGGTCCTTCTCTTCACTAGACTAGCCATGTGCAGTTCCTGTAACCGTTCTTCATATGTTTTAGTCTCCAGTCCCCCAATCATCCTGGTTGCTCTTCTCTGCACTTTTTCAAGAGTCTCAACATCTTTTTTATAGTGTGGTGACCAAAACTGGATGCAGTAGTCTAGGTGTGGTCTTACTAATTTGTCTGGACCAAAACTGGATGCAGTAGTCTATGTGTGGTCTTACTAATTTGTCTGAAGTGGTATGGGTTTTCCTGCCTAGGCAGGGGGTTGGACTAGAAGACCTCCAAGGTCCCTTCCAACTCTATTATTCTATTCTGTTTTATCTATGCAGGAGTCAGAATATGTTTCCAAAGTTGTGAGACCTCTTTGAACAATGCTTCTACTGCTGAAGAACTGCTCTTAAGCACTTAATTGACTGTTAAAACATCACTGATAGGATTTATGCAAACTTTAGTTTTGCCTGTTCTCTTTGGATTATTTCTTTTTCCATTCCCACCATGACTCCCTCCTTCTTTTTTGCCTGGCAGCAGGCACAAGCAGTGGTCAAAGTTTCTTTTGCCCAAGAGTCCAACCCATTTCTCTGTACACCCTCTGGATTGGTCTCCAGATCAAGATGTTCCACCTACCAGGCAGACAGCTGGTGTTATGAATAACCAGCAGTACTTTATAACAGACCATGGTCGGTACCCAATCATGTCTTCAATGTTACTGTAGAAACGATCAGCACCTGTGAAAGCGGGTGGGGACAAAAGATGGTAAGACAGGTAGAATAAGTCTGCTCTAACACCTATGAAACAGAGAAGAAAGCCAGGATCAATAAAATAAAAAGCACAGCAGACTAAACAGAAAGGAGAAGCAAGCAAGGAGAAGCCACTGAAGCAAAACAATGACAAACAGCTTCTCAAGGTCAGTTAAATTAGTAATATAAAACTGTTTATTTCTTTTCTTATATTGGTTTCTGATAGGCTCAGAGTACTCAAGGATACACTTGATTTTCTTTTCTCTCTGAAGTCCTCTGCATCTGCTCCAGAATCTTTTTTCTCAGAAATCCCCTCAGTCTTTCTAAAGGACTTGAAAGAGCAGGAGGAAAAATGAGGGAGGAATTGCCCCCTTATCAATTCTGCGAATGAAAGCAGTTACACCTGTGTGAAACCAGTATTGGATTCCACCTAGGATCCCCCTGCTTATTCCTATCAAATAGGAAACTAGATAGGAAGATACTTCGAGATATTTCAACAGAACAGGAGTACTAGTCATGAACAAGTTCGGGGAGAACATTCCAGCTCCAGAGATGTTTTAGACTGGTCTTTGACAAGTATCTTGAGATATGTTTTCTATCTAGCTCTATCTATGCAGGGGTGGGCTCCCCAAAATTTAGCAAAGTGTTCCCTGCCCGGTTGCTGGGTGGGCGTGGCCATGGTGGGCGTGGCCATGTCAGCCTCCTGCACCATGGCGGAGGGGGGGAATTTTTGCCCTCCCTGGGCTCCAAAGGTTCTCCTCAAGCCTCTGGGAGGGTAAAAATGGCGTCCCCCAGGCTCCGAAGGCTCTCTGGAAGCCGGAAATGGGCCCATTTCTGGCCTTCCTGAGCCTCCATGCACGCCCTGCACTTACCTGCATCCAAAATGGGCCACATAGGGACTCCTGGGAGAGGTGGGGCAGGGTGGGTGAGGACAGCCAGGAGTGGGATTTGGGGGTTCTCTGAACTGCACAGAATCTTAGCTAGGGGCTCTCCCGAACCCCTGCGAACCCCCCAGCAGCCCACCCCTGTATCTATGTGATTGCTAAGAGTTGAACCCAGTGTGATGGCCCATAGTCAATGAGACTCGTTTCCTATTGCAATTGTACTTACCATACACCCAGCCAATGCACAGGGTCTCAAAAATGGCAACAAAGAGCAAGCACATCCCACTGGCAGCATAGTAGTCAAAGAGCTGGAAGACATACATCCCACCCTAAAGAGGGGCAGGTGTCCACACAGTGGAGATTGGGAAAGAGATGGAGGAGAGAGAGTTTAAAACTTGTGATGAATATCAGATGAATATCTTTTTATACCGCTAAGCCCCCAAGTGCTGAATTTATTTTATATATACTGCTAGACAATCTGTGAACCCCTTGGCTCATCCTTTCAGAGATACATCCATACCAGATTCCTCACTGCCTTCAACAATGACAGAACTTTTAATGTACTGCCTTCACTGGAAAAGTTGGGATACAGGGAAGTACCTGCCTTGAAAATGGGCTATGTTGAAGTGTACTTACTCAGTCAAACATCAGGACAGGAAATGCTTTTTGACATTTTGTATGATGTCATAAACTGTTTTACGACAACTTTTGTGTCACAAAACGCTTTATAAAGTTTATAAAAGTTTATAAAATTTGCCAAATTTCAATTCTATGGAAATCATGGGGCCCAGATGCTGGACACAATCTGTATGAGCCTCAGTGGCACAGTGGTTAGAGTGCAGTACTGCAGGCCACTTCTGCTGACTACCGGCTGCCTGCAATTTGGCAGTTCAAATCCCACCAGCTTAAGTTGACTCAGTATTCCATCCTTCCAAAGTTGGTAAAATTATTGGGGGGCAATATGCTGACTCTGTAAACTGCTTAGAGACCGCTGTAAAGCGGTATATAAGTCTAAGTTATGGGCTAAGTTAGCCCATTTGAGGTACCTTGATTGAAAGGTTTTATTCTCTGATGCAACATATTGCCCATGTCAGAACCAATCCTTCCTTCTCTTCCCCCCTCCCACACCATCCAGGCAGAACTGATGAAGCTTCTTGGATGAAAAGCAAAAAAAAAATTTTTCTTTCTTAAGGAAAAAAGAAAGAAAAAACATTTTTTGCAACCAGTTGCCTTTTGAAAAAACACCTTTAAGATAACTATGATCTGGATGACTGAGAATCTCCACAGACAAATATATTGTCTCACTTAAATATAATGAGGACAAGAGCTTTAGCAGTATAAGCTTTAGCAGTATATGGACAACTTTAACTTCATTCCCAGAAATATCTGTTCAGGAAATTATAATTCGTATTTGTTAATACATGTTCTAGTGTTTTCTAGACAATATTTTCCTAGACATTTCTTTCTCTTGTGCTAAAATTACTTGCGGTGACTCAATAGGCGTTCAGTTCCTGCTTAGTTGCTACTGGTAGAAAATATCCAGTGGGAGTGAATGTGCAGTCCTCTGCTTATACATATTATGCCAGGATTCTGAATATTTCCTTTCAATTTAACTGGTATTTGGAGAGCCTGATAACTCAACATATCTAAAGATAGCATGTTATTTGTTTCTGGTATCAATAGAACCATCTGTCTTCCCCACCTCTGGGTGTTCGTCTCCCTTTTGTGATAGAAAGTTTCTGAAAACCAGCTAATACTGAGGTGGGTCATTTTTTTCAACCTCCATATCCTGCAAATGTCACGCATACACACATACACACAGAGTACATACACATACATATCCAAGTCAGAGGTTTTATCTTAAGCTTTGTCCCCACATGCATTCCAAGGACAAGACAAGTTTTCAGAAGAATGCCATCTTCACATATTTTTAAGTTTCTTATTACCATGAGGAGTGAAAAAAGAAGTTATAGTCTGGGAATGTAAAATATGAGGAAAGGGTGTATGAGTATGGGGAAAGGGAGATGGATGGATGGATGGATGGGTGGGTGGGATGGATGGATGGATAGACAGACAAAGATGATAGACAGATGATTGATAGACAGACAGACAGACAGACAGACAAAATGGATGGATGGATGGATGGATGGATGGACTGACAAAGATGATAGATAGATGATAGATGATAGATGATAGATGATAGATGATAGATGATATATAGATAGATAGATAGATAGATAGATAGATAGATAGATAGATAGATAGATA